GGTTAAGACACTTGCCTGCTAACCAGACGGCTGATGGTTCAAACCCACCAGCCACTCCTCGGAAGGAAGGTTGGGCAATCCTACTTCTGTAGTGATGCTGCCTCGGAAACCCAAGGAGGGGTCGCTATGAGTCGGGGCCGACTCGATGGCACATAACAACAACAACAACAACAGGTGTTAAAAGTTAAGGATTAGAGTTGCTTAAGTGAAGTACAAGGGCAGAGAACAGTGCATGGGAAGACCTTGCAAAAGGCCAGGAAAGAGCTTGGCCTTTTCTAGGAAAGGAAGCCAGTGTGGCAAGAGCTTGGAAAACATGGGGAGTGGTTTAGTTATAACCTAAAGACAGTCCCATATCTTTAATGTACCTTCAAGGCTGTGCATGATTGGGCCCTACTAACCTCTCCAACATAATTGTGAGTCAGTTCTTGTGCAACGCTAAAGTCACGGTCCTAGTTAGGAATGGAGGTGTTTGAACCCTAGAAGAGCACATCTATCTCTTCTGGGTTAAAACTGGTAAAAGTTAACCAAGCAAAGGGGAGGAAGATGAAAAGGGAGTGTGGAGGAAACTTTCTGGAGGGCCAGGAATTCACTGCTTTTGATGCATTGGAGCCTATGGACAGCAGATGAAACACTGCTTGGTCCTGCAGCATCTTCATGAGCAGATACGCTTGAGTCCATTGTGGCCACTGTGCATGATGCCATGATGTTAGGAAGTGCTATCTCTGTGGCTGAGAGTAGGGGAGAAACATGCTGGTATGAAGGGGATTGTCTTCTCCTACTTCACGGCACCTACCAACAACAATATGAAATATAATGAGGTTTCTTGTGGATTTGACTTGTGTGTAAAGATGAGAGAGAGTAAGCTAGGCCTGCTACAATGTGCAGGCTTGAGGGTGGGAAGATAGTTCTAAGGAGAGTAAGGCCTGTGCAGAACCTAAGGGCACTTTGTTTTATGGGCTCTGCAGTAGATCTTCCTTCTGTCACCCCCAGCCTTCAGGAGAGCCTTGCTAAACGTGACAGTGAAGTTTCAGCTCTCACTATAAAGAATGAGCCTGAGCAGTGCCCTGAGTTGGGGTAAAGTGGATTAGGGGAAGACAGGGAAAGCAGCCATTGCTTTAGAAACATGAGGTTAAAGACCTACAGAGGTGACTAGCAGGGCCTGGGGACTTAATAGTTTATTTGGGTAAGAGATGTCTGCCTTTTGCAGGTGGGAGAAATAGGGACATCTAGGTTACATTCCTTTGTGATTCAGTGCATAAAAACGATCTTGCTTGGTACCTGTATGTGGCTAGGTCTCCCAGTATGGGGCCTGTGTGGAAAGAAGAGGAATTCTAGAGACAAAGGTGTCCCCCAGAAATGAATGCGTGGGATGGGGCTCTGCAGAATAAAGATTGCAGTTCGAGAGTGGGTGGAGGTAAGAGAAGTAAGGGTAGAGTTCTGCTTAAACACCTAAGAACAGAGTCAGCTGACCATTTAAGACTGTGAGGAATTCTTGAAACTTTTTAATATTTTACTCTCATCTTTTCCCTTGTCTTTACCCACAAGCTCAAATCCATTGTTGTTGTTATGTGCCGCCAAGTCGGACTCGACTCATAGCAATCCCTCCTTGGGTTTCTGAGACAGATCACTATGGAAGTAGATTGCCCCATCTTCCTTTGGAGGAGTGGCTGGTGGGTTTGAACCGCCAGCCTTCTGGTTAGCAGTCAAGTGCCTTAGGCACTACGCTACCTGAGCTCCATCAAGTCCATAGGAAACCCCGTAATGTTTGACACAGGAGAAGACAATGCAGGAGGCTCTGTCCGATGGATCTTGACTTACCCGGCAGAGCAGAAAGCCAGGTTGGAAGCAGCAGGTGGTGCTATTTAAGATGGAAACAGGCAGTCCTTAAGGCCCAGAGGAGAGAGGAAGCGCAGGCGAGCTGCAAAGTCTGGTGTGATCTTTGTGATGACTGGCCAGCCCTGAGTCTGGACACGGACAAGCAGCAGTAGCTTTGGATGAACTGGAGCCTCTGCCCCCAAGTCCTCCCTCAGCTCTCCTCTTTCCTTTCTCCCCACTCCCAGCTCCCTGGTAAGCAGAGAGGACACCATTGTGGGCAAGCACCTTTAATTTGCTGTGTCCCAAATTCTCCAGGGCAGGGAGAAAGAGTGCGGTCAGTGCTGCAGAGACTCCAGCCCAGAGCCTGGCCCGGGGGCGGCACGTGGTGGACTCACAGTGTTTCTTTTGGCTGTGGCCAGAGGCTGAGGATGACCCACCAGAGGGGGTTAGTTCACCTCGAAGTTCACCTCTGATTCGAGGAGGGAAGGAAGCCGAACTGCGGCGACAGGGTGCAACCCCGGGACCTGTTCTTGCTCCTGGATCTGGTCTCGGAGACGCTGGATCTCCAGGCGCTGCATTTCAATGATTCTCCCAGTCTCTTCTTGCTCACTCAGTCGTACGGTAGGAGGAGCGGCGCCAGGTATGTCCTTGCTGGGTTCTGTGAGGTACAGAGTTAAACTAATGTGGGCCTGCTCGTCGGACCTGTCCCCCTCCCTCCTCTCTCAGTCACGGAGCACCTACTCTGAGGTAGACATTCTGAATCCCAGAAGCTAGGTCTAAGGAGATACAACATTTCACTGTCCAGCAGAGAGACGGAAAAATGAACAGACACATTTCAGCATAAGACAAATTGCTGAGTGTGACCTCAGCCTGGCCCTCTCCTGAATCCCAGTCTGCTTGCCCGGAGGCCTATCCAGTGCAGGCTGCCCATTCTTCTATTCCCCACACTAGTCAGGGCAGCACTGTCCTGGCTGCCCTGTGTTGGGGGATAGATGAATAGGAATTCATTAGACTTTTCTTCCTATTTTTGCATATGAAAATTTCCATAATAGTAATAAAAAATACCTGATTATATACTACAGCACCCTGAAAAGGGTTTGCAGTGCAGTGACTTAATATGGTCCTTCTAGCCATAGTCTTGGAGAAAAAATTAAAGTTGTCAAGGATTTCATTCTACTTGGATCCACAATCAACACCCATGGAAGCAGCAGTGAAGAAACCAGATGACGTACTGCACTGGGCATCTGTTGCAAAAAAACCTCTTTAAAGTGTTAAATAACAAAGATATCACTTTGAAGCTAAGGTGTACCTGACCCAAGCTATGGTATTTTCAATGGCCTCATATGCATGTGAAAGCTAGACAATGAATAAGGATGACCAAAGAAGAGTTGATGCATTTAAAAAGTGGTGTTGGCAAAGAATATTGAAAACACCATGCGCTGCCAGTAGATTGAGCAAATCTGTCTTGAAGAAGTGCAGCCAGAATGCTCCTTATAAGCAAGAACAGCCAGAATTTGTCTTGTGTACTCTGGTCATGTTGTCAGAAGGGACCAGTCCCTAGAAAAAGTAATCATGCTTAGTAAAGCAGAGCATCAGCAAAAAGGGGGAAGACCCTCAAGGAGACGGACTGGCACAGTGGCTGCAATGACGGGCTCAAGCACAGCAAGGACTTTTAGGGTGGTGCAGGCCCGGGAAGTGTTTGGTTCTGTTGTGCATAGGGTCGCTATGAGTCAAAACTGACTTAATGGCACCCCAAAACAGTAACAACAAGCCAAGTGTTTGTAACTCCTGCCAAATGACTGCATAGGACTATGCAAATATAAGGTGCTTGTGGCCCACCAAGGGGATTGGATAGCTTGCTAATAATATAAAGTGTATGGCACCCTTGAGGAGGTGAGACCATGAAAATAAGGTATATGGAACCCTAATGTGGGGATTGGTCAGTTTTGCCATCCGACTAGGCTTAAAATGAGCCATCCCAGAGGTGGTGGGGAAGGGCAGGGACCTGACTACCACCAAGAAGAGACAGAAGCAGAGTACATCCCAGGGTTCCTATGCTGGGAACTTGCTAGATCCAGGAGATAGAGAACAGTAACACTGGAGAGAATGAGAGATGACAAGCAGCAGTGGGAGAGAAATGGTGGCAGCAGAACCAGAAGATAGACAGGAGATGGCACAGTGGACCTTTGGACCCATGGGCAAGAGGTTTGCTGGCAGGGTGGGGTGCCTCCAGATACTTAGTGGAGCTAGGTTTGCCGACCCATGGAGCTAGAGCTTAGTCCTTCCTGGCTGAGGCTTACTGGTGGAATGGGGTGCCTCTAGGCGCTTATTGGCAGAGCTAAAAGAGCTCTTTAACACTTGCCAGAGCAGAGCAGAGGCCAAAGGACTGTGGGGCTGCAGAGAAGTATGCTTGCGGGCACTACTGAGAAGAGGCTACCCTGACTGAAGAACTGTATCCTGAGTCATTTCTGATCCTGTTACTTTCCTACTAAACCCCAAAATTTTAAGTACTGTCTGTGAGTTCTGTGAGCCCACTGCAAGGAATTATCAAACTCAGGAGAGAAACAGAGAGTGGAGTGGGAGAACAGTTGGTGTCAGAACTGGTAAGAAGGTTGGAGGGTAGAGGCATGTCTGACTTCTGCCTCATTGGGATCTGCCTTGGGCTATCGATCTTGATCCTTCTCCCTCCTTGCGAAGTGAGAGGAGCTCAGACAACTTCCCGTGCCATTTTTACAGGATGCAATGGAGTATTTTTGGTAGGATGCCCGGGCAGATTTAAACTTGTTTTTAAAGAGAAGTTTTGCAATTGTTCACAGGCACATTTGTGCTTCTCCAAGAGAAAATTGCTTTACCTCCAAGAGAGTCAAGTATTTCAGCCTTCATAACACATGAGATACTCATGTCAGTTCTTTAACCTAATATTGTCACTTTCGGTAATGCTTGTGAGGTTTTCTTTTGTCTCAACTTTTCTTCAATTCTAACCAAAAGGGCACAAGAGACAATATATATATATATATATATATATAAAATTTAAAAATGTGTGTGTGTGTTGTGTGTTGCATATTGTCAATTCCAACTCATGGTGACCTTCTAGATCAGAGCAGAACTGTCCCCAGAGAGTTTCCAAGGCTGTAATCTTTACAAAAGCAGACTGCCTCACCTTTCTCTTGAGAAGCAGTTGGTGGGTTCTTTGAACCACTGACCTTTTGGCTAACAACAGAGCACTTAACCACTGCACCATCAGGGCTCTTTCTCTATATATATCATTTTGAAATAGCTTTAAGAGTTACCAGAAGTTGCAAAATAGCACAGAGTTCCTGCATACCCTTCAACCAACTTCCCCCAATGATAATATCTTACATGAGACAACTGATATTTGAAAAAACAACTCAATTTGTAGTCATAAAATGTTTCAGTTGATCAAGGTCTCTAAGCTTTATTCCTGTATATAAACCATCAGAAAACAGTATACTTGAACCATGCTGGCTTGATTTCCCCCAAAAGTTGCTTGGGGAACTTGGCTACCTGGAAAAGTGGGCCTACAACCCCAGCAGGTATGGGGCAGGCCCTGAGAGTCTGCATTTCTAACCGGCTCCCAGGTGATGCTGCTCCTGGTCGGTGGGCCAGACCACACTGAGTAGCAAGGGCCTCGAGAGTTTGAGTACCAGAGTGCAGGCCAAATCTACATAAAACTGACCTGTACCAGTTTTATTTCCTGTCCAGGTAAGAAATGGACTCCTAAAGAATGTTCCCTTATTGTCTGAGCAACTGATATTAAAGACTGTCCATTATGTTATTTAATATCCCTTTGGTAAGCATCCTTGCAATGAATTTCTCATAGAATTTAGTGCCAGGGAAAGGTTCCCTTTACCAAACAGTAAGAACTATATAACGTAGCATATTTCTGTATTTTCCTTTTGCCTTGGCTATCAGAAATTCAGAAGAACTTGAGGATATAATTACAGTGACTCATTTCATATTTCTTATGCAATTCATACCCATCTCCTTTTAAATAGTTTCTGATGTTTCTTTTTGTGTTCAATTTAACTGTATAAATCCACTATCTCTTACTCATAATCCTAAAGTGCAAAAAGCTCTAAAAATGTAAAGGATTTTTAAACTCATAAAGATTTTATTAGTCTTTCCTTATTCCACTTCACCGCCTGCCTGCCAGTTTGTCTTACTGTGGTGACTTGCATGTTTCTATGACGCTGGAAACTTTGCCACTGGTATTTCAAATACTAGCAGGGCCACACAGGGACAGGTTTCAGTGGTACTCCCAGACTAAAAAAGACTAGTGAGAAAGCCCTGGTGACCTACTTCTAAAAATTAGCCAATGAAAACATTATGGATCACAAAAGAACACTGTCCTACTAGCTTGCTTTGGACATAACATCAGGATGGATAAATCCCGGAAGAGGATGTCATGTTCAGTGAAGTAGAAGGCCAATGAGGATGAGATGGACACTTGGTGAAATGGATTGGCACACCAGCTGCAATGATGGACTTGAAAACATCAGTGATCGTGAGGATGACTCAGGACCGGGCAGCGTTTTGTTTTGTTGTACATAAGGTCACCATGAGTTAGAGTCAACTTAATGGCATCTATCTATCTATCTATTCCACTTAGTGTGAATATTCCTATGTTTCACTGCAGAAATACTAATGTGTTTGTTATCAGGGCACTGCCCCAGACCCCTCTGGGGATGTTATGTTATATACTATGTAGACAGATATACAGACAGATAGACAAATTGTTATGTGCCGTCGAGTCGGCCCC